GTGAAAAAATGAAACTAGACCACTGCCTCTCACCATGCACAAAAATCAACTCAAAATGGTTAAAAGAACTGGACATAAGACCTGAAACCATAAAATATATAGAAGAAAATATAGGTAAAACACTACAAGGCATACATCTCAGTGACATCTTTAAAACTCATCACCCAAAGTAAGGAAAGTCAAGGAATAGATAAACACCTGGGTTTACATCAAACTGAATAACTTCTGTGCAGTGAAAGAGACATTAACCAAAACAAAGAGACACCCCACTGATTGGGAAAAAAATTTTGCACTCCATATGACTGATAATCAACTGATCACAAAGATATACAAAGAACTCACATGACTCAACAAAAACAAAGCAAACAATCCAGTCAAGAAATGGGCAAAAGAATTATTTATTTATTTATTTAGTTTAAATTAATATTTTATTTTATATAATTCTTACATCATTTTTCATTTTTGCACAATGTATGCATTATCATTTTAGTTATATTCCCCATACAATTGCACCCTCCCTTATTTTGACCCTAGTCCTTCCTCTTCTCTTCCCCTCCTTCCGGGGTGTACCTCTGGTTTATAGTTGCTTGTTGATTTTGATTTTTATGTTGTATTAATTAGTCTTTTTCCTGGTCCCTTAGTTGGGTTTCCTAAATTCCTGCTATGAGTGAGACCATCTGGTATTTTTCTTTTTCTTTCTGACTTATTTCTCTGAGCATGATCCCTTCTAGTTCCATCCATGTTGCTGCAAACTGCATGCATTTATCTTTTTTGATTGCTGAGTAATATTCCATTGTGTATATGTACCACATCTTCTTGAGCCAGTCATCTATTTTTGGGCATTTGGGTTGTTTCCATAGCTTAGCTATTGTAAATAGTGCTTGGGCAAAAGAATTTAAAAGACATTTCTACAAAGTGGAAATGCAAATGGCCAACAGGCATATAAAAAAATGTTCAACATCCTTTATAATCAGGGAAATGCAAATCAAAACCACATTGAGATACTACCTTAAGAAAAGGTGAAAAAGGAACTCTCCTACATTGCTGGTGGGAGTGAAAACTGGTGCAACCAGTATGGAAAACTGTTGGGAGGTTCCTTAGTCTACTAAAAATGGAGCAACCACATGACCCAGCAATTCTACTCCTAGGGATTTACCCAAAGGATACAAACATATTGATTCAAAAGAATACCTGTACATCTATGTTTATTGCAGCATTATTTACAATAGATAAAACCTGGAAACAACAACCCAAAGGTCCAAAAATAGATGACTGGATGAAGAAGATGTGGCATATATATACAGTGGAATATTATTCAGCAATCAAAAAGATAAACTCATGCCATTCTCAGCAGCATGGATGGAGCTGGAAGGAATTATGCTCAGTGAAATAAACCAGAAGGAAAAAGAAAAATATTGGATGGTTTCACTTATAGCAGGAATACAGGGGAACCAAGTAAGACATAAGTGTAAAAGAATATTAACAATACAAAACACAACAAAGCAAAACCAGATAATTATAAATCAGAGACATCCTGCAGGGGAGGAGGAGGGAGAGGGATCAGAGGGAGGAAGGGAGGAGCACAGGGGACTGAGGTGATGGTGCACAGGTGCATTGGTGAAGGAAACTCTATGGGGACTACACCTGAGGGGGTGAAGTAAAGCAAATATTGTTTAAAAATGAACAATGATGTAAAAATAAAAAAATAATTAAAAATTAAAATTATAGACAAACTTTTCCTTCTACTAGTAAATCAGTGACTTTAATGCTTTCACCCACTACCAGAATATGACTATCTAGCTATTAGCTATCTATCTATCTATCTATCTAAGAATTTTATATGTATATAAGTGTATATATATAATATATATCTATATATGAAAGAAAGTTACCTATCATCCATTCTTTCTTTAAAAATTACTGTAAGATGAAAATAAATTTCTGCATTATAATTATAAAACAGATCAAAACTTAATAATTATCCTATTTACAGATATAAGATCATAAAAATCTGATCATTATTATCTAAATTTTAAAATAACATAAATTGACAATAAAGAAAGACCAGATGATTTTTTTTCTGCTCTCACTGCATTTATTATTTTTGTTAAATATATTTGTTTAAATGTATAGATTTTGTTCATCATTGTTCATTTTTATACAATGTTTGATTTCCCCTCTCTGTAATGTCCATAAAATCCCCACCACCAAGTCACCTTGAACCCTCACCATAGTCTCTTGGGTTTTCCCCTTCCCCGTTTTGATCCTTCTCCCTCCCCTTTCCCTGCTGCATGTGGTTTTAACTTGAATAACTTCACACAATAAAATCCTATCATCCTTGGTGGTGCAAGGGGTTAAGCACAGCACTGTGAAACTATCAGCAGCCATGGCAGCATGAGTTCCATCCCCTGCAGGCCAGGGAGCTACCCACATGAGACAGCATAAGCCGGTACTCAAATTAAGTAGAATTATGGGAAGTAGGGTTTTGGTGGTCAAGAAGATAATATTAAGGGATTTTGTATCAGAAAAAAGGAGCTAGCTCACTTCCCAACACCTCATGGTGATATATCTTTTTAAAAATAAGTTTCAAGGGCCTCCCTGGTGGTGCAAGGGGTTAAGACACAATCTATAAAGCTACCCACAGCAACTGCAGCACGAGTTCGATCCCTGGCCAAGGAGATACCCACATGGCAGAGCAGACCTCTCCTGACTCGCCTGCTGCTCCCCTCAGCAGTGTGTTTCAGTCAATCTGCCTGTTCTGTTATCCACTCTGTCTCTGGTGACCTTCTTACCCCCACACCTCTGGCCTTTACCCCAGTTCTTGTACACATAAACAAATCTTTAAGAAAAAAAAATAAAATCCTACAGTAATTTAATGTTCTAGTTGCTATTCAGTACAGGCCTTTTCTATTATTCAAAAGCATGTTAAACATGCAAATGATTCAGTATAAATACATGCTAACTTTTTCAGCTATAGTTCCTGGCTTGGAATAATTGTGCAGATACACTATATATTTGGCAATTGCATTTGGGGATGTGACATGTTGGACATGGGTAGTCACACTTCCAACAGCTCTACCAGTGTTGTACAAGTTAATGATTAAAGAACCTCTTGGCAAAACACTTACTGTTAAGTGGGGAATGCAGAATACTTGGCTTCTGTAATTGAAATAATTTGAAAGAACCATATTTCTTAGCTAGCTGTAGATTCCACTATTTCATTATTAGGATTATAATCCATTAATCAATTTATAGGCAAATACATTATTGTTCAAAAATAAATCAGAATTTTAAAACACTCAAGTCAATAAATATAATGAAACAATAGTCTGCTGCATTCATTTGTATGTCTTGCAGATGTTTGGTGAAATTACTGTAGCCTAGAGCCAAACAGCTAACACCATATTTAGTTTAGTTTATTGCAATAATGAAAGTGAGTAAACAACAAAGTACAAAAATTCAGAATAGAAATTAATGTTCTGTGACATAAAATTCTGTTTGAAATCCAAGGCAAGTGCAGTACAAGGTTAGGTCTTTAAGCATTGCATAATGTCCATTTAACATTTTTATTGAAGTGTATCTGTAAATTATACAACATGAAAAATGACAGCAATATTCTCAAGACAGACTAAGTCTAGTCTATGGAAATAAATTCATTTTGATCAGTATTCAAAAGTTAGTCTGGATAATCACATGAAGCAAGTTAAAAGTATCTGCATGTACTCTATTTTTTCTGTTTATATCTATGTATCATTTAATCTAATTGAATATAGTAAATTATTATACCCACTTTATAAAATATCATTTTTTTTTTTAAGATTTATTTTGTTTTATTTATTTATACAAGCACTGGGTACAGTCAGAAGCACGGGAGGGTGAGAGAATTCACCAGAGCCAGAGCGGGGAGCAGAGCAGGCAGAAGGACCGAAGTACACTGCTGAGGGGAGCAGCGGGCGGCAGGAGAGGTCTGCGCGCCATGTGGGACCCTCCTCCGGTGGCCGGGGAGCAGCCGGGAATTGAACCGGTGCTGCAGAGGCTGCGGGCAGCTTCGCAACCCAGCGCTCAACCGCTGCGCCACCGGGGAGGCCCTATAAAATATCATTTTGATGCAAAAAAAACCCCTCAGTATTGCTTATATAGTAGGATGCATGTATTACACAGATAGTAGATATTATATGGGATAAGCACATATTATATGGTATATGCCACATTATATGGTAGTAAATGGAGAAAAGTGGGGAGATATACAATATTATTGAATTTTATATGGGATGTTATTAATAAATATCCTTAATTTTTAAATGTTGAGATATTGTCTAAGGTATAAATGATTTTATAAGTCTTTAAAAAATAGAGTCTGTGATTTGTACAGGATACCATTTTAAAATATGCTAACCTACTAATAGACAAATCTGCAATGAATTTGTAATAACATATATAACAATCTCTGTCTTATTTTTATCAAAGATTTTAAATAAGCAATTTATGATATTAATATCAAAAATACCCCTTTTACTCTAATTTTTTTCTAATTATTTGAAAACTTCATCAACATTAATGTAATTATCTGAAAACTTCATCAACATCAATGTAAGCATTTGTTGGTCCCAAACTAAAAAATAGTTCAAGGTTACTTTGCTTCTATTAAATATTCAAATATAGTAAAAAAAAAAACAGATGTTCTATTTCAAAATAAGGCTATCTTGTTCTGAATATTGAGCATTTAAATAGATGCCAAATTGAATAATATAATTCTAAAATGGAGAGCACCAGGAGTTCATGGGTGAATTCTATGAAACTTTTAAAGAAATTATACCAATTCTCTACAGCTTTCTACATGTCTTTCAGATGACAGAAGAAAAATGAAAACTGAACACATACATGTAAGCACACATATGCACATATGCACATTCACACATCCACACACACAGGCACATACATGCATAGACACATGCACACATATCCTCAGGTGCACACACATGCACAGTCACAGTGCAAGGACATGCACATGATCCTAAATAGAAGAGCCCAAATACCTAATTACATAGACATTGGCAGGTCTGTTTCCCAGGTCAGTCTGTTTCACAGGTATGAATTTACAAGGCCATTTCATATCACCCTATTATGGATGTGACTTTCTACAATTTCTAAAATTTTCACTGCTGATCACAGGGATTTTAAAGAAAATTTAAGTATGTGATTACCATGTATTAGAATTGTGTGTGCATTCATACATACAAGTATATGCAGTCTATTTCAAACACTGATTTAATGTTTCATTGGATAGAAATTTTAACAAAAAGATCCATTTCCAACTGTCTTCATCAAGTGGAAAAACAGCATTCAGATGCCTCCAAGCCTCCAGAGCTCCCACAGGAAGAGCAGGTAATCTGAAAGTTCAGTCCAGCAGTGATGGGAGCCCATCATTTCATCAGGAGCCACCTCAGTCGCAGCCATCCTCTGTGACCTGCATTCATAAAGTCTTAGTAAGAAGTCAACAATCAAACAGCAGCTTTCCCCTCTGAATCCTCACATGGTGTTTTCTGGTTATGGGTAGAGGGAGAGCAGCCATTTCAGGCTCCATGAGGATGCTTCCAGGGCTTCTCCATGACATTTGTGCCCAGTTTGGAACCCAGGAGGCCCTTTCTGGACCCCCATTATCTACACAGGTGAGCTATTTTCCAAGATTGAATTTGAGTTTTTAAAATGGTCCAAAGCCAAGGAGACTTGCTTCCTTTGATGTAAGTCAATGAAAACACCACTCAGATATAAGAGCTTCACTGTGTTCTCTTACATCATTGCAATATGCCCAGCCAGTCTGCCCAGACAGAGCCTAAGATAGGGAAGTGAGGCCCTGAATTTGGAGGCCTTTGTCCCTGGGGCCTCCAGAGGCTCCACCCATTCACCAGTTCTGCTGCCTTCCTGGCCCTTCACCAGCTCCACTTTACTCCACCATCAGCTGGGTGGACACACAACACAGGCTGATGATGTCATAATCTAGAACTTGGTAAATTTTAAAAAGTGATGAATTATTTTTGTACATTGCATTCTTTTTTGTTGAATCCCTTCTGATTTAAGAACAAACTCAGAATGGAAATGCGACCTTCAGCCATTTACCTTGGAAAACCCATCTTTCCTCCATTCCCTTCCCCGCAGGCTGCTGCTCTCACCATCAATCTTCCTCCTCTGGATTCCCAGAAGTTTGACTCCTCAGGGAGCCTAGAGGAGCCTGCAGCTCCTGCTGACCACAGAACAGGCCTTCTACAGCTCCATACCACTGTTAGGAAAAACAAAACAAAACAAAAATCAGCTGCTCACTTCCCTGGGACTTTTTTGTCCTCAGTGGAGCATAAGGTATGTACTCATGATGAAGTCGTACTTACTCTGTGACACCGAGCTGTGGATATGGTCTCTGTTTAACCCCATGGTGACCAAGGCCTTAGTAATGGCCGGGTTGTGGTGGACATAGGACCGCTCCCTGAAGGCCAGGATTTCCTCTGTCACTTGTACCTGGGGGTGTTGAAGGATGGTTTTGTTCTTGTTCTCCAGGGGTTCAGTGCCATCAACTTGCTCATCAGTTCCCAGCACTGGTGCGACAGGTAGTCGGGCACATGGAAAGAGCCGCTGAAGATATGCCGCCTGAGCTCCCAAAGCTTGTCCCCCACAAAGGGTAGCGACCCAGTCACCATCAAGTACAGCACCACTCCCAGGCTCCAGATGTCCCCCATCACAGTGTTGCAGAGGGTAGATCTTAGGGGCGGCATACTTGGGGCTGCCACAGGACGTACTCAGCTGAGTGTTGGAGCACTGCATGTTCAGGCTGAAGTCCACCAGCTTGATGTTCTTTTGAAGGTCCATCAAGAGGTTCTCAGGATTCAAGTCCCAGGACATAATTCCTTAGTAGTAGCAGCAGCTTAGGGCAGAGAGGATCTGCTGGAATTTACTGCAGACCTTGCTCTCTATCAGGCTCCCATGGTCCTGCAGGTAGTCGAGTAGCTCTCCATGTGCTCCATGTGCACCAGTTCTCCATGTGCTCCTTCACCAGGAGGAGCTCGCCCTTGGTGTCCAGGACCTGGAAGAGCTGGACAATGTGCAGGTGGCTCTGAAGCATACCTCCTGGGCCAGGGAACCTCTGTTCTCTTCTGTGACTTTTGGATGATCTTTATGGCCACCTCAGTGCCAGTTAGCGTGTGTCAGGAAAGCTTCATCTTGGTGTAGGAGCCCTCACCCAGGGTCTGGAGCATCTGGTAACTTCCCATTATAGTGTCGTTAGAACCTAGGGTGCCCAGCATACTGACCGCCTACTGCACTCACTATCCTGACCAGCAGCCTGACTATGCTAACTGCCACTAAGTTAAGTATTTAACCAGTACTAACTGTGCCAGGATGCTTTGTTTATTATATGCTAATAAAAAGTACTCACTAAGCTAACTAAACAAAATGCTAACAGTGCTAGCTTAACTATACCAACAATACTAACAATACTAAACTTACTAGTAATACTAACTAACTACACAAAATGCTAACTAAAACACAACTAAATACACAACTAAATACTAACTAAAAACACAAAAAACTAAATGAAAATCACAATCAAAAAATTTAAAATGAGATAAACAAAAATTTTAAAATGGAAAAAATTAAAAACTAACCACTGAAATTAAAAAAAAGAAGAAAAAAACAAAGAACAAATGACAAAAGAAAAGAAAACAATTAGAAACTAACAACTAAAATAAAAAGGTAGAAAAACAGGCATGAGGAAAAAGGACAAACAACATACGAAGGAGGGCCTTCTCAGTGGCGCAGCGGTTGAGCGCTGGATTGTGAAGCTGCCCGCAGCCTCTGCAGCACCAGTTTGATCCCCGGCTGCTCCCCGGCCACCGGAGGAGGGTCCCACATGGCACGCAGACCTCTCCTGCCGCCCGCTGCTCCCCTCAGCAGTGTACTTCGGTCCTTCTGCCTGCTCTGCTCCCCGCTCTGGCTCTAGTGAATTCTCTCACCCTCCCACGCTACTGACTGTACCCAGTGTTTGCATAAATAAATAATAAATAAATAAATAAATCTTTTAAAAAAAATACAAAGGAGAAATTGGGAAAAATACATGGCTAAGAAGGAAAAATGAGAATAATTAAAAAATTAAGAAGAAAAATTAAGAAAATTTAAAAGTAAAGGAAAAGACAACCCCCAAAATGAAAATGATTAAAAAAGAAAAAAATAAGAAAACAAAGGTAAATGCTAAAAAGCGAAAAAAAGCAAAGAAATAAAATAACTATAAATAAATAAATAAATAAATAAATAAACCAAAAGGGAAAAAAAAAAAAAGCCAAAGCAGAAGAGATCGCACGCTTGCTACCTCTGAGTCCACATGTCACCATGCAAAGCTTCTCAGCTCTTAAGGACACAGCCTGGGTCCAGGCAGGGCTTATATAGGCTTTGTTGGTGCCATCACAGTGGCTCCTTACAAGGTCAGAGCCAGAGGCAACAGCCACAGTCAGAGGGAAACCCCAGTGGTTTTCAGTCCTAACAAATAAGCTACTGCTAAGAGGTTTGTTTATATGACTTATTAGAGATTGAAATTTACCAAGTTAATTAAAACCCATATAATGCTTCAGAGGCTGTTTCATTTCTGGTGAGAAAACCGCAATAGAGTTTGGCTTTTAAAGATCTCAATACAGTCACTCCCTTAAACTCTGATGCATCTCAGAAGTGATGCTACAAAATCAACTGACATTTATAAACTGTAGAATATTGTGAGCATAAGATGCAACAAAGTCTGTTCTTCGCATCCTAACATTTAAAACTATCTAGGACATAGTTTTCCTCCTTTTTTTGCCAATGAGCTGAGCACGTTTCTCAGCCACCTGGCAGGGCCAGAGGCAGGGGCAACTCTGGCAGGTTGGCAGGTGCTTTAATTCACAGCCTGTAGATTTCCTTTTCCCCACGTCTGCTAAATTCCTGTCTTACCTGCTAGTGCAAGTGCAGAGGCCCTTCTCACACTGTCAAGAGTTGTCACCAGCCAGCTCAACATGGGGTGTGTGCCTGTCATGGTGTGCTGCCTTCCATGGACGCCCCATGCTGTGGGACACCCTCTAAGCTGACATAGATGGGGCTGGTACAGCTGGGGGTGGTCAGCCACCACTACAGGTTTCTGGCTTAGAAATACCTCCCTCTTGCACAAACTGGGCCAGTTGGTTGGCAAAGGACAGGTTTAGATGTTGTGACCCTGAGCCCTCCAGGAACTTGCCCTGTGATCTGCAAATGGTGGGTACATGTGAACAGTAGGGGTTCTACTGCTACTCAAGCTGCAGACTTCCCTTTCACCTCCCAGGCCTACCCTGATCATTCACTCACAGTATCAGGTGAGGACTGTGTCTCACCTGAGCAGCCAAAGCCAGGACCCTGGAGCACAGCCAGAATCCCCAACTTTCAGAAGCATTGGCTCAGGGGTGTCAGGACTGAAAAGTCAGAACTGGAAGAGTATTGCTCCAGTGGCCTCATTTCATAGGTATGAAGAGTGGAGGGTGATGATTTGTCTTAGGGGGTGAAGATGCACAGGGCAGGCTTCCTGCTGCATGTCTCCTTATAGAGAACCTGATCTATCAGTAGCTTTGAGAAGTTCTGCTCCTCCCTCTTGCAAATACTCTTCTGTTTCCTGAGCTGCTGCACAGAGCTGTGTCACTGGCCACTTCTTCTGTTTCAGTTGCTGATTCCAATGCTTATTCCAGTTTTTCTTTCAAACATGCTTGCATGTGTCATTTCCTTTGTTGTCCTTAACTGAACTAATCCTTTCCTTGGCTTCCAACATCCTCTAGAAACCAATGACTCCAAAATGTCTGACCCACCACTCCCTAGAACCCCAGCTCTGAAGAACCACTTGCCTAGTCATCACCTCCACTTGGGTGTTTCAATCAGCATGTCGAGCATCACATGGGTACTATGAAACCACAAATGTCCACTGCCTACCAGCTCCTCCAGCTCATTACCCCAGAGCCCATCTCATTATTCCCCATCATGTTCCAGTTGCTCAGGCCAGTTCCTATATGTCTGCCTTGGTTCCTTTCTTCCTCATCTCCCACATCCAAGCCATCATTACCTTTTGGCTACATTTCAAAAGCCACCAGTCATTTCTTAGTCTCCACAGCTCCCCAATTACAGCCCTACTGTGAGTCCTGCTCATCAGGACTGTTGTTTCCTAACTGGTTTCTTCTGTCCTCCCTTAATCATCAACCATCCTAAAAACAAAGAGTGAAAGCATAAATCAGATCATCATTCTGTTGCCTAAAACCTTCCAGTGCTATGCTTGGAACTGAACCTAAGCCCCTTCTTAACGTTTTCATTGCCCTCACATGTCTGAGCCCTGTCTATTGCTAACCTCTCCCTGTTTCCTGCCACCCCAAATGAGCTGCCCTTCTTTCTGCCACATCCTGTTGCCACATGGGGCCTTTGCTCTTGTTCTTGCAGAATCCCTCCTCCCCCAGTGTCTGTTCTAACTAGCACTATGACCTTGCTTTGGTCCCGTCCCACATGTCATTTCTGATAGCATACAGGCCAATGTGGCACATTTAGTTTCTGAACCACATTCTCTTCTATCCTCCCAGTAGCATCTGCACCTAAATCATATGAACATGTCCTCAGAGTTTTACTTTAGAATGGAATTTCCCACTTGTATCCTAAGTTCCTGAAACTGTTTTGTTTATGGCAGGAAGGCTGCTGGCTGACCAAAACCATTCCTAAGACAAAAACATTCCAAAAAGCAGTACATTTTGCATGTCCTGTTGATTTCACATGTGAACTTTTTCTCATTCTCCATCAGGAAACTGATTACAACAGTTTTGATTAGGGAAGCTTTCACTTGTTTTAAGCAATATTTTAAAGTGCTTAAAATATAAATGTCATGTACTGTCCATGTCATAAAAGTTTACATCATCATCAGGGCTTCCGTGGTGGCCCAAGGGGTTAAGATGCAGAACTACGAAGCCAGTCACAGCCATGGCAGCATGAGTTCCACCCCCAGCCAGCCACCCCGTCCAGCTGCCAGGTGGCCTCGGCGGGCCGGCCGGAGCCGGACAGGGCTGGCCACCGCCGCCTGGGGTGCCGGGAGGGCACTGTTTAGGCCGGGCCTCCCGAGTGCCTGGGGGGCTCCATGGGGCGGAGCCGCCCGGCCCACCCCGTGTCCCCGCGTCCTTCCCTGTGTCCACCCGTGTCCTGCCCGGCTCCCCACTGCTGGGGTCTTCGGCCCCCCCATCCCCACGGGCCTCGGGAAGACCCAATGCACAGAAGCCTCGGGCCTTGCTGCTTGGTGACCCTGACTGCAGGACGCGGGAGGCGCTGAGGCGCGAGGCCTGGCCCTTCGCGGGCAGGACAGTCCCCGCGGCGCGAGGGAGGAGGCAGGAAAGAGGGAGGGAGACCGGGCGCTCATCGGGAGTGCCGGCCCCAGCCCCATCGGCTCCTCTTGAGGCCTCGCTGCCGTGACCAAAGCCGCACCCAGCGCGCCTGGCTCCCATCTTATCCCAGGCGTCCACTGCGCAGCTCCAGGGCCTCCTCGCCCCTGATGCCCGCCTTGCCCGGCCACCCAGCCGGGGTTCCCAGCTGACTTGGAAGGCCCCTCGGGGTCGGCGCCTGAGACTGACTGGCAGCCTGACCTCGTGGACTCAGATGGGTCTGCAGACGCACAGGGCATCGCCTGCCTGGAGGGGAGGGCCCGTCACCGCTGCCCACGGGCCTCGCTGGAGAGGCACCCAGGACATGGTGCCGGGGACACAGGCCCCGGAGAGGAAGCCTGGCCCCAACTGCGCCCGGGCTCTGGGCCGGAGAAAGATGGCCTGGCCTGGCCCGGCCGGACGGGGGGCCTGCTGGCGGGAGCCTGGGCACGAGAGATATGCTGGGGAGGCGCCCAGACCTGCCCATAGCACAGCCTGAGGACCCCAGCTGGAAAGGGGACGGCACAGGGCGAGGACGGGGGTGGACACGGGGGACCACGGGCAGGGTGGGGGGAATGCGCTCAGAGTGATGAAGGCGTTGAAGGCCAGAGGCCCCCGAGAACAACAAAAGAAAACAGGTGCCTGTCTCTCAGGAGTGGGTCGTGGGACCCACATGCTAGAACCCAGTGGCAGAAAACGGGTCCTCAGGCCCCAATGCCTAGGTCACAGGCTCCAGGCCAGGGGGTGGGGGGGGGCAGCTGCTGTGGGGTGTCCAGGCGCAGACCTGTCAGGGAGGAAGGGGATTAAGGAACATACCACTTGTGCTAGTTTTATCACATTTCTCCGTTCAGAATGTCAACAGCCTTTTAGAGGCCAAGACAGGCACGAGGAAAGGCCCTGCAGACACAACATGCAGACACAGGCCATTTTCTTAGTTATGCCAGGAGGAATATTTTGCACAACTACAGTTTTTTCTCCATAGGCGTAGGAGAAAAAAAAATCTCAAACTCCAAAAATGCGGAGTGTTGTTGGCAGAAATCACAGGTTCCAGTCGTCACCCTACAAGCCTAAGGCTTTGAAAACAGGGTAAGTTTAGTGAGAGCAATTACAAAGGAGTCACACAGAGTGTGACTTACAAAGGAGTATCACTTTAGGGTTGATCGTGATCAAGCCTTCGTGTTAGAAGTCAGTCCTGGAGTGCCCTGGACAGCAGCTCAAAGAGCAAATTCTACATCAAAGTACAGATGACCCCTCCCCACACTCAGGAGAAATGGCAACCACACAGGGAAGAAAAACCCGGTAGAGTTATGTGATGCACCAAACTGGTGCTCTGACCGCAGCCGCCCCTGAATGCAGTCTTTTGGCAGCAGTGTGGTCAGCATCAGTCTGTCAATGGATGAAATTCAGAGTGATTTAAGAATAGCTCTCTTCCTCTGACAAGGCTCAGCAAGTACCCTGAGGGTAAAAGAGCATCATGATTTTTAGATTACCTGAACAGAAACCAGAGAGAATTCACCAGAGCCAGAGCGGAGAGCAGAACAGACAGACCATCAAAGTACACTGCTGAGGGGAGCAGCGGGCATAGCAAGAGATGTCTGTGCAACATGTGGGACCCTCCCTTGTAGCCGGGGATCGAACCGGCGCTGCAGAGGCTGTGGGCAGCTTTGCAGCCCAGTGCTGAAGCACCGCACCACCAGGCGAGGTGCTCAGCAAACTTCCAAGAAGCTTCACAGACTCAGGCTTCTCACTATCAGTTTGTCCCATCTGCTCCCCAGGAGCCCCCAGTCCTTCCCACCCAGCCGGGCCTCAGGCCTGTGCCTATCAACCTTTGAGGCTTTTTCGCCCTTATATCCCCCACTGTGGGGGCAGGAGCCTGTCCTCCCCTCAGGCCCCTGTTTGGGTGTCAATTGCCTGAGACTGGCTGAGGGAGCGGGGATGGGGAGAGGACTCTGAGAGAATTGAGAAATAAAAGACATGACAGAATAGGGTGGAAAAGCAGCAGGACCCAGGGGACGCCAGCCTTGGGATCTGGCTCAATTGTCCTGCATGCCCAGGGCCACTTGTGTTGATTGGGCCTCCATTCCTGGGGGGGCCTAAAGCTGCAGGGGGGCCGCCTTTGCTGGCTCCTGGGCAGCCACCCCAGCAGGCTGAGGGCACCATCCCCGCACCCTGCAGAAGAGGGAAGCAGTGTTGGGCTCAAGTCCTCGCTTGGCTCCCCACTCCCCTCATTGGGGGGTGTAGGGTAAATGGTTTTCAGGCTTTTCTGCCATCCCACCATTAGGATTGCCCTGCCTGAAGGGCACCTCCAGTTGTTACATTGTTGTGTTGTTTACTTCTGTGGGCCATGGGAGGAGTAAAGAGATAGTCACCAAGGGAAGCAGAAGCAGAGGCAGGAGGAAGAAGGAGAGAAGCAGGAGAGAAAAGGGGAAAAAGAACACCAGAGAACCCTGCCAGAGTGAAGATTTGCCAGGGGCTTGGAGGCCTATGGCACCCCTGCCTGCCGTGTATCTATCTGGTAGCTGCACTACATGTAAATGCTCAATAAAAGCCTGAGAAACCCACTGAGGGCTCCAGGGCTCTCCTTTACCTGGTCTGTTCGGATCATAGAAAACCTGTTCTGTGCCCTTCCTGCCCCTACAGGGGGAAAGGATGTCCTGAGCAAACTCCATACGGGCTTTGTGGATGCCAACCCCACTCCGTCAAGTCACTGGGAACTACAAGTCCCATGATCCCCAAAGGGAAGTTGCGAGGACCTAAGGTTAAGTGTTAAGCGGCCATCTTCTCTGTTTGTAAATAAAACCAGCCCTGTTAGGGGGTCTCGGGGACTTGGCTCGTGCTCTCGTCCAGGCAGGTTTGGTCTCAGAGGGTCATTGGGATTCCATGTTGGAGGAACGGGTAGGGCGCATTAAAGACTTTATCTCCCTTTTCTCCCTGAGTCATTCATTTCCTCATTCCCCTTCCCTTGTAAATAAACCTTTGTTAACCTTATGTGGGTGCCTGCAGTGTGAGTCCCTTTGAAGCGGGTGGGTGAGGACCACAGTGCAGCAAGCCGCTTTAGAGCGGGGCTGCCCTGAGACCCTCAGCCTTCTCCTGTGCCCCCTTGTCTCCTCCCGGGGCACTGCCCACGGCAACCAGTGGGTGGTGCTGCCCACCCAACCCTTTCCTGGCCCAGACATTCCCACCAGGACCACCAGGCCCTGAGCGGCGATGGGGGTGCGGGGAAGACATCCCCCACATCTTCAGGGAACTTCCTCTGGCCTGACAGGCCGAGGAACACAGGGAGCAGCGTGGACGGAGCCAGCGGGGAGAGGGTGCACTGAGCTGCCCCTGCCCAAGGGCTCGGTGCCAAAGTGGACAAGAACAGGGCTCCGAGGAGCTGAAATCCACCCTCGCCATCCCCCCACAGCTGTCGGAGAAGGAGAGGACCCAGACCCAAAACGCACGGTGTCCAAGGCCTACCGTGAGCAGGGAGCGCCCGGAGGCCCAGCAAGGAGAGGCGGGACCCAGGGAGAAGGGCAGGACTGGCGGTGGGGGACAGATGGGGGACAGATGGTGCCAAAGCCTTAAGGGCGAGGATGAAGCGGTGCTGGGAAGCACGGGTGCAGGGCTCCTCTCACTCCTGAGAGCAGTGCCTGCTGTCCTCCCGTGGTGCTGGGGCCTGAGAATCAGCCATGGAGAAAGAGCTGTTCAGTGTTTGGGAAAGGACTTTGGAAAACGAAAAATATGTACTTGTGGAGATGTCCCTGGCACTTCATTTATCTACAGGAACAAATGCTGGGAAATAACCTCAGTGAAAACCCCAGGAGCAGTCCAAGAGTTCCGTATACATAAACTGCCACCGTGATCCCTGAAGAAATGGGCGTGCATGGTTCGTGAGGTGGTGCTATTCCAGCTTGGATAGAAAATATGAATGGAATGATCCAGCATGCCTGTGCCATAGAAAGGGACACTTACTTGGCACTGAGTAGAATATTCTATGCAGTGGAAACACCAGCCTCTGGCCACAGCCAAGTCTGTGGATCGCCTCACTCACATACTGTTGGGTGAAAGAGCCTAGAGTGGAAAATGTACATAATATGATTTATTTATATTTTAAACACCAGGCAAAATAAAAAGCATGATTTTATTATACATTCAATAATATATGATTGTGTGGGAACGTGTCATGGTGAGCAAAGGAAACAGTGATTGAGAGGGTCACCTACTGTGCAGACTCAGTGACGCAGAGGATAGTATGTGATTTTGTGTTTCTTCATCCAGTGGAGTTCATTTTGTGATTCTGAAATTCTACATGTATCCTACCTGCCCTGATACATGGGTATTACTGTTCACAATTCAAGGTACTGAAAATGACGAGGGTGAAAGTCAGCAAGCTCATAAAAGCATTTCTCTTCGGATGAAAAATCATAGCTGACCCTTGATCACTTTGGTTTTATTCTACCCTTCAAGTTTTCTAGAAGGTACACAGCTCTCTCTTAGGATGAACACATCATCAGGGCACTCACATCCCCGATCCTTGGCAGGGGGAAAGGAAGCAGTAACATGACGATTGAAGTAAATCATTCCATTGTGGTCATACAAGAACTTTTCACACGGATGAAAATGCGGCCTTCCTGCTAGTCATGCAGGCACGGGCAGAGTGGCTTCATGTAGAGAGAGAGTCAAGCTCATCTCAACTATTTCAGTGAAGGGGTTTGTGTTTCTGGCCCGAACCTAGACTCCTGCTCATCTGTTAATACCAATAAACACATTTTGCCTTTTTTTTTAATTTCTAAAATTTTAAGTTTATTGTTTCACCCAGAAGCTTCATATTGATTTGATTTGGTTTAAAAAAAGTGAAATAAGACACTCTTTCAAAATCCAGACATGTCCAGCTTTCAGACACAAGCTCTGTAAAAGCTGTGCATGCACAAGCCAGTGTAAAGGTACAAGGCAAAATGGTGAGTGGAGCCACGACGTTTCATAACACAAAATTTGAAATGACGGGAAGATCCTTGCTCTGACTAGTTCATCGCCTTTACCAAAACACAAACCAGAAAAATAGGACAGAATAGAATGAAATTCCTGTGTTCCCAATGAACTCGTTCCACGTTGAAAGCCATCCCAGTGCCCTGCCAGATGGCACCCTGCCATTTTCTGCCTCCCCCTAGAGCTAAGATCCTGAGGGCAGCAGAGGTTCCAGTCAACAACAAAGACGGTGGCAGCAGAACAGAGAGCTCCACTATGCTGAAGTGCAGCAGTAGGCTGACTTCCGGGAAGGCTTGCCACCCTACGAGGCCATAAGTACCATCAATTATTTGGGTGCTAAGACGCCAATGAGGAACTGAGGAAGGAAAAAAAAAAACCTCTGCAAATGAGCAGAGCCATGTCAAGGGACCATAAGCGCACCAACAATATCTAAAGTCCCTTTTTTAAAAAAGGAATTTTATTTTTACCTGAAAATATTTAACTCTAAACAAACTGATGTCAGCCGTCCTCGAAAGAACATCACAAAGACACTGGCAATGTCTGTGCCAGAAGACTTGGGTGATGTCTGCCCATGCCCTGTATTGTATTTGACATGGAGATTTTCAACAAAGGCAGTGAATGTTCTAGTCTAAAGCTCAAACCATCTGAGCAAAATTGAAATGGAACTGTGTACAGATGCCATAAAATGGGCATCCTCACCCACATTTCCACCCAAGGACACTTGAGCCTTCCTCATGGATCTTAGAGCGTTGAGACTGTCACCATCTGTGGAGGAAATGTGGGCTACTTGTCTCCACTTCACTTGGAACGTCCATACCGCCTTGATGCAGCAGGACTGTGCATGGGTGTCACCACTGTGTGTGAGTCCCGTCATCCCCTGTCAGGGCTCCCCCAAGACTTGGAATGAAGTCGTAGTCAGGGCTGTGGACCTGTAGTGGAGGAGGGGAGGGACCTGGTCCTGCAGAACCCAGTGGGGCAGCACCCACTGTGCTTTCATCTGGGCAGAAGGTGAGCCCAGAGGGAGGGTGAGGAGCATCTCCCTGTGGGTAGCTGAAGGAGGAGCGGGGGGGTGGGGGGCAACGGTCAGGAGGACCCAGGGGAGGGAGGGCTGGATGTGGAAAACCACCAGGCTCTGGCAGTTTGCGTTTTGGGCACGGAGGAGCACAGAGGTCCGGATTCATTCCTGAGCACCCCACTGGGTCAGAACCCACACTGTGAGTGGATCCCCAGGAGACCCACGGGCATGGGAAGGTCTGATCACTGCTGTGCTCTGAGTGCTCTGAGCAGAGGACACAATGGAACAAGGTAAAAATGCACCGTGGTCCACCCAGGAGCCTTTCCCTGCAGCTGTGTCCACCACACCCCGGGTCCTACTGGAGCTGGTCGCTGCCTGGGATGGAAGCCGCACAGACTCTCTGAGCACCTTCGTCCTCCCCATGGACAGAAGCCCCACCATGGGGATGCGACAACTGCACCCTCCCCTCTGTCCATAAGGGATTAGTGCCTGCCTGACAGGGTCATTCCTGGCATCAAGGACCCTGACAATTGAGAGAGAGGTGGGCAGGGCTGCACCAGCACTTCCCCCCCAGGTTTGTGCTTCCACCTGCATTGAATAAGGAGTGATAGGAGCTGACTGGCAAGAGCACTGAGACGACCTTCTCTGCCAAAATAGAAGGTTCTAGGCTCAGGTAGGCCCGGGGTGGAGGATATAGATTTTTACTCCTATACCTGAGCCTCGGTTTCCAGTATCCCCTGGACTCAACAGGTAGACACGACCCCTTCACCTGTTGTTGCCAAGCACCCACTGTCTGCTAGATGCCAAGGACACGAGCTGAGCTGAACCCACAGCTCAGAGCACCCTCAGGAGGCATCAGGGACACAGGGAACTTTAACAGATGCTGCAAGAGTTATGATAGGGAGCTTGAGATGCCACAGTTTTCCCTGGAAGGGGCACCTGACACAGGAGGTTGTCAGAGAGGGGCCGCAGGCCTGAGACAGCAGGAGCTGATGGCAAGACTCTTGCAAGCTTGTCTGGAGGCTTGGACTTTAGCCTGAGTGCGGACAGTGGGAGCCACTGAAGAGCTTTTTGAGGCTGTAAATAAATGACGTGACACAACAGGTTGTCTTTTGTGAGGGAGCGAGGACCATGGGAAGGACTACAGACAGTCCTCTGGAAACATCTGGTTCCTCCCTTTTCTCTCCCCAGGAGGCAAAGAAAGGAGGACATGAACCAGCCCACCCAGGACAGCAGCGACATGCCCTTTCTTTCCAGGTACAAATTCAGACCCCAGGCCCAGCTTCAGAAAGGACAGTCCACGGATGAGTGGGTCTGGCCCTGCCTTGTCCAGCGGCTGGTGACCAGCCTGCAATCGAGGATCGTGGATTTCACAGACACAGGTGACCAGAGACATGGCTCTAACTTCATTATCAATTTCCTGTTTTCCAGTTTCATGTTTTGAATTTCCTGAATTAATTCCTCTCTTTGATTCCTTTATAAATCACACTGGCACTATCCTGCAATTATGGCACGTGAGTGCAACATTTTCTCTGGTGGCACATAAAGCAGATGAGAAAAGGACGAACTTACTTAAAGTTCCATCAGCGGAAAAGTGGAAGAATAGCCTAATATTATACAATCAGTAACTTGTCATCTATTATATGATAAAATGCCTTTGCCGTTCAATCTGAAATATTCTTCATCTCTAGAGAACAGACCTACTTTGTCTGTTTTAGAATTTATAGAAAATAACACCTTTTTAGATTATAGAAAATGACACCTACTTTTTTATTAACACTCTGTTTTATGAATGTTCCATAATTGGAAAAATGTAACAAACCTAGGTGGGACTTCCTATTTGTATGAAATTTACAAATTCAATGCAATTCCAATACAAATTACAGTGGTGTTCTTCAATGAAATGGAACCAAAATGGTTCAAATTCACATGGGATCACAAAAACCTCTAGTAGCGATAGTTCTTACTGAAAGGGGTGGGGGAGAAAGGAGGTATTACACTCCCATACATCAAACAATATTACAAAGCTGTTATAATGAAATCTTTATTGGAACATAAACAGACACAGAGAACAATGAGGAACTAACCTATGACACAGGAGCAAATAATATACATTGGAAAAAGAATTGCCTCTTCCATAAACGGTGCTGGGGAAACTGGATTGCAACATGCAAAAGAATGGAACTAGACCACTACCTCACACTATACACAAACCAACTCAAGTGGATGAAAGACTTGCATGTGGACCTGGCACCATAGAATACACAGAAGGGAACACAATCCAACACTCCATGACACAATCCTCAGGACGTCTTTGAGGATTCTTCTCCAGAAGCAAAGAAAACAAAGGAGAATGTAAACAGTTGGGGCTCCATAAACAAAAATCTTCAGAACAGCAAGAGACAATGATCAAAACAAAGAGACACTCCGCTGAATGGGAGAAAATATTTGCAAACCAGATGACAGATGAGGGACTGATATCAAAGATCTACAAAGAGCTTACACATCTCAAAAAAACAAACAATCCAGTCCAAAAAATGAGCAGAAGTTAAAGGATGCTTCTCGAAAGAAGAAATGTAAATGGCCAACAGGCACAGAAAAAAGGTTCAGCATCACTAGTATCAAGGAAATGCAAATCAAAACCACAGAAATGACACCTCACTCCAGTAAGAATGCTCCACATTAAAAAAAAAAAAAAACAAAACCTGGAAACAACAAATGCTGGAGAAGCAGTGGAGAAAAGGGAGCCTCCTACCCTGCTGGTGGGAAGGCAAACTGGTCCAGCCACTATGGACGGTTGTGTGGAGGTTCCTCAGAACACTGAAAATGGGTCTACATATGATCCAGTGAGTCCACTCCTAGGAATCTACCCAACGGACAAAAAAACCCCAGGAAACCTGAACTCCTTTGTTTACTGCAGAACTATTTTCAAAAGCCATGCCATGGAAACAACTCAAATGCCACAAAACAGATGAATGGATCAAAATGGTGTGGTGTAGATACACAAGGCAATATTACTCAGCAATGAAAACAGACATTTGTGGCACATTCATGCCACTGTTGGTGATATGGATGGAGCTGGAAAGGATTATGCTGGCCACAATAAATCAGGAGAAGAAATATGAGATGTGAAATACAGAGAAACTGAACAAAATGTAAAGAAAAAGACAACCCTAGCAGGCTGACCAAGAGCTAAGGCATCCAGCCTGGAGCAGGAGGGAGGGGGCTCAACAGAGGGGAGGGAAGAGCACAAGGGATTGTGGTGATGGGTCACAGCTGCTATGGTGATGGGAGCATTATTGGGACCACCCCTGGGGGAGAAACCAGTAACTAGACAAGGATGTAAGAAAAGAAGAAAAAAAGAGATGGTCTTTAAGGACAGGGGAGAGGTCTGCCGTGCCATGTGGGTATCTCCCTGGCCGGCTGGGAATTGAACCCGCACTTCAGAGGCTGTGGACAGCTTCACAGCACTGTGCTAAACCCGCTGTGCCACTGCGGAGGCCCAAAAGGGCTATTTTTTTTTTAAGATTTATTTATTTTTACAAGCACTGGGTACAGTCAGAAGCGTGGGTGGGTGAGAGAATTCACCAGAGCCAGAGTGGTAAACAGAACAGGCAGATTGATGAAGGACACTGCTGAGGGGAGCAACAGGCGCGGCAGGAGAGGTCTATGAGCCCTGTGGGACTTTGCCTGCGGCCGGGGATGGAATCGGCACTGCCGAGGCTGCTGGCAGCTTTGCAGCCCAACGCTCAAATGCTGCGCCACCGGGAGGCCCACCGAAAGGGTTGTTTTTAACTGTAGTCTCTTATGACTAGCAATCATGTTTGGGATGAGAGCCATTCTAAAACTATTAAGTAATTCATGTTCAATATTAATGACAGCATCCTCACATGCTACAATGATACCTGAAAGTTTTCTTCTGTCTCATTTTAGCCCAAGCTCCTTCCTTATGGAGGAGGACGCCCAGCACCCATAGACCTGTTCTGAGGATGGACACAAACTCCTTCCCTCCCCCGGCCTCCAAGAGGGTTATAATTTACCATCATTATAAATCCTCTGGTTCAGTACAAAATACGAAAATTTGGGAGTCCAAAAATATCTGGCCCTTGTGCTTATTTTTTCATCTCAGAGAAGTTACTGATCCCTTTTGGACCACAGGGTCCACAACTACAGTGTAGGAATAATATATCTATAGCGTCATTAATGGAGATCACAGAACTAAAGCAATGAACTTGTTGCACAGGGTCAGGTAATCTCCATCAGATGCTCAATAAAGGCCAATTCCTTTCTCCTTTCTAGAGAAATTCAACTTCTCTCCAAAGCAAGCATAACAGAGGAAGTGGCAAGACATTTAAAAGTAAAGTGCAGCGTTTCTCCCCCCACCCCCCCGCCGGTGGGGTAGGGGTTAAATCCCAGTGCTGTCACCATGACTTGCCTGAGTTCAATCCTCAGCCGGGAGTTGACCCACTAGGTGCAGCAGACCTCTCCTGTCTCACCTGCTGCTCCCCTCAGCAGTGTATCTCAGAAGATCCTCCTGTTCTGCTCCCTACTCTGTCTCTGGTAAATCCTCTCAACCTCCCACACATCTGGCCTGCACCCAAGTTTTTCTATGCAAAATTTTTTTAAAAAGCTTTAAAAAAGTGGGACAGCAGTTTCTATGCAAATTTTTTTTTAAAAAAACTTTAAAAAAGCTTTAAAAAAGTGGGACAGCAGTTGAGCACTGGGCTGCGAAGCTGCCTGCAGCCTCTGCAGCGCCAGTTTGATCCCTGGCCACTGGCGAGGGTCCCACATGGTGCAACAGAACTCTCATGCCACGCCTGCTGCTCCCCTCAGCAGTGTATTTCGTCAGTCTGCCTGTTCTGTTTCCCGCTCTGGCTCTGGTGAACTCTCTCACCCTCCCACGCTTCTGACTGTACCCCAGTGCTTGCATAAATAAGTATCTTTTAAAAAACCTTTTAAAAAGACAGATAAAGGGGGTTTTCTCCAAAATATCCAGTTCCCATGAGTCATTGTGGTTTACTCAATCCCTGAAATAGGAGGGATACTTTTAGCACCATCTATAGAGAAAAGATCTCAAGAGCTTAGGAAAGCACCCTTCAGTGTAAAAGATGATCCCCATTTAGAAAGTTTCCTTCCCTGTTTGTGACAGCACCCAGCTGACCCTGCTGAAAGGTTTGTTGGGTGTGTCCTTTAGTGACGCAGAGAGGGCCACTGCTTTCACTGCAGGAGTCGGTTAATAATAACCCATTTTAGAAAACCAAACACTTGTAGTCACGTGTGGCAGGCTGTGTGGCTCCTGGTCACTCAAGTCTCCGGGAAGCCTGGATTCTCTTCAAGGGAGAGTGTAAAGTCCCCTCCTGAGGCAGTGTCCAGGGGTCCAAGGTCCCTCTTCCAAGCTCTGAATGACAACGTCAGCTGCACAATAGGGAAGCAGCGCTGCAGCCCTCACATGTGGGCCCAAGACCAGCAGGGGCAGCATCTCAGACCCTTTGTGAGAAATGCAGAGCCCCAGGCACCAACAACCCCCTGGGTCAGAACTTGTGCCCCCAGGAGACTGGGACACGACTCTGCCCTCCTGCCTGCTGGACCTGGGGTGGAGAGGCAGTGTCAGCCCCAGAGAAGATTACAACATGTAAACTTATAATTCCCCAAATTATATTCCAAGCACACAGAAATTAAACACACAAATCAGTGGAGCACAGCGGGGAGCCAAGCAAACCCACCCCAGGGGTAATCAGTGCAGCAGGGAGGCACTGGGAGCAAACACGGGGGATGCACTTTCCGTTAGGGGTGCTGGCCACACTCAGGAACGACCTGACCCCCATGTTCCTCCAGGACCCAAAATGACCGGAGCAGAGCTCTGCACCCCCAGCCCGCCCCATCCTGGGTCCCCTGACTGGCCTGCTCTGCATCAGCCACCGGCAGCGACTTGTCCTCACCTCCCTCTTGCTCCGGGTGGTTCCTGAAGAAACTGGGCTCCCGCAGGCAAGAGCTTCACCCCCGAGTCCCGGGAAGCGAGTGCCAAGGCGAGTCTGGCAGCTGGGGAGGCAGGAGCGGGCACAGGGGCGCGGCTGCAGGTGAGGCGTGCGGAGGGGCTGCAGGTGGATGGGGGGGCTGCAGGAGAGGAGAGGGAGGGGAGAGCCCCTGGTGCTCACGGGGCGCCCCCACCCGTCCTGCTGCGCTGAAGTTCGGAAAACCAAACTAAACGGAGGCTAACACCCCGCGTCTCCGACGACACCGTTAACATAGAGTTTCCACACGACTTCCACAGCAAGTCGCGCCCACGTGACTGAAAACACGCGAGGATTGTTCACCCGCGACCACACAGGGCCCGAAACCCGCTGTCCCCCAGAGGGAGAGACGGGGCGTCCCGCCCCCCCATTATTCCCTGGCTCTCCCCGCCCCGCCACCAGCCGGCAAGTTCCCCGCCTGCGCGCTGCCCCCGGGGCTGCTCCCTCCTTGGTCCGCAGGCCCATTCAGCCAGGTCGGGCGCTCCCGGCCCCGCGTCTCCGCCACTTCCGCTCCCGCGTCAGCGCGCAGGGACGTGATGTCAACACGCTGGGGGCGGGGCGAGGCCGAGGAAGGACAGGCTCGAGGGGGAGCCAGGCGCGGGTACATGGTGCTCGCCTCCTGGTCGCTGGGGGGTGAGGGGGCGGGGCCGCCCAAGCGGGATAATGGGGGGCGGAGGCCCCAGGCCAGGACTGGGGGCGCAGGGGGTATGGAGCCGGGGCTGAGGGGCGGGTCAGACCGGCCAAGGGAGATGCAGCCGCGAGAGTCGTGGAGGGGGGAGGCTCGCGCAGAGGGGGGTTAGGAAGAGGGAGTGTGTGACTTCAGAGCCTTCAAGATGGGCAGACAGAATGACGTGGAGGCAAGAACCCGCTGAAATAGGGGTTTTCGCTCATTCAGAAAAATTTTGTATCGCCCTTCTGTGGGGAACTTTGACTTCAGCTATTAGAATTTGGAATATTATATATATGCATGTGCATTAAAAGAAATAGTAATGCAGTGTTTGAGAAATGACCTAAGGAAATGCTGTGAACACAAATAAAAATGTATATCCGTAAAAATGCTAACCAGCACTTTCTTGTACTAACACATACAGGAAACAATCTCCATCAGAACTCCAGGAAACAGTCAAATATGTGACAGTAAATGTAGCAATCAGGTACAGTCATTCTGAATAGTTATCAATGACTTGCAAAACACTTATGTTACAACATTAAATGAAAGAGAAATGATATAAAATTGCAAATATAGTGTTATTCCAGCATGGAAATAATATACTGTACATGTAGAACAGAAGGGAGAAGTTACTTTGCATTCAGTGGAATGTTATGAAACAGTGAAAATAGAGAGACTAGCTAAATCCAATATGTGGGTCACTTTGCCTGCATGTTGTTGAGTGAAAGGGTCAAGATATAAAATGAACATATTATGACTGATTTAAATTTTAGATACCAGACAAAATTGAAATCATGTGTTAATCATGTGTGTCACATGATTAATCACACCTAAGTGACACACGTAGGTGTTGAATTGTCATGAAAGGCAGAGGTTATACTTGTAATGACAGCCACATATTTGTGCTTACTCGGAGAAGAAGATTATGATAGTGTGACCTTGTGTTTCTTCACCCAGTTAATGGAGTCATTTGGTCATTCTGAAATTTCACATTTATACTATCCAGGACCCTTGCACACAGGTGTTTCAACAGTGAGTCTTCCCTTAACCCAGGAAGGGCAGCTCACCTCTTCTAATTACTCTCGTTACCTCAACTTTCTGAGTGACTCTCGGCCATCAGTGACATCCTGTTTAATGTGCTATTTACCCAGTTGCACGCAAAATATACAGCACCCAGAGCAAACCTAGAAAATGTGTCCCCTTCTTCACTGGTATCAACCACCTGCCCCTGTTCCATGGAAATCTTGTGATCACCCCATAGGAATAGAGGATATTACCACATTTGACACAGACACCCACAAATAGGGATGCTACAGAAACACAGAAAGTGACAGATGGCCTGTTACTACCTTACTGGAATCAGGTTATGTCCAAGTGTGTTATGATTATAGATCCTTTCTGGTGATTTCTTTTTCCCTAAACACACTCTAAAATATGATTTAACAAAAGAGAGAGCTAGCTGGATTTTGGAGTTTATTTTGTTATAAAAATTATTGCTGCAGGAGGCCTTGTAGCCCCAGCCAGATAAACTACTGGCAAGCAGCAAAGCTCCAAGGGCCTCACACCATGGGGCCGAAGATTCCTTGTGCCTCACACCGTGGGGCTGAAGATCTAACATCCCTTCACTTTTTGTTCTTGGTCATAAAAGGAGAAAAATTTCCCAAAAAGTACATTAGGCGCTACATTATATGCATCAATATACAGTAAATAAACGGCATGGAAAATTATCTCTTAAAAACTAATTATTAAACAATTTGGCCCACTTGACAATGGGAGATGGTTTATTAAACATGCCTGACAAGCATTACAATACAACTATTATTGTAAGTTCTTTTTTGCCTTCCCTTGAAGTTTCTTGGGAAAGTTTTTAAATGAAGCTATTTGAGTTAAGGAGTTGGTGTGAAGGCCAAGAAAATAAGAAAAGTTCTTTCTTTGCTTAGGCTTTAGCTGATGGGAATGTTCCGGTGGCTATCAATTGTGTTAAGCTATTGTTTAGCTGAAACAATGAATTTTAGTGTTTAAGACTTAGTTTTTTATTAACCTTGAAGGTTGCCTTCTTGCTGAGAGCACGGAAAAGGAGATGCACTAATTGTTTTTGCTTTGTTTCTGTGAACCTGATAATGTAATCTCAATGCTTGCAAAAAATGTATAAATAAAGAACCTGCTGAGCCTTTCGGCAGAAGATACTAACACCTCACAAAGTGTCGGTGTCTCCTCATTCCCTTCCCCTCAGTCCCTAAGTTTCAGATCATTCGTATTCGCCGACGCTGTCTCATCCTTTCAGGAACCCTGACACCACATTTTGCCGGAGGCTGGTCCCCGGCAAGTGGCACCCGAAGCAGAGACTTGAAAGGTAAGATTTCATTCCCGTGCGGGGATGGCTAGGATCTGCTCCATAGGGTAGAGCGCATACCCGCCTGTAGAGGAAGCAGGTTTGGGGGAGCAGTAAGTCAGAACCGTAATAAGGCTAGTGGGTGTCTTATTATGTGATAAGGCGAGTGAGTGTCTTATCGTTGAGAAGCGATGGGCCATACTGAGTCTAAGGAAAGAGGACTCTTTATTGATATAATTAAGTATACTCTCGCAAAGAGAGGCCTGAAGACCTCTCATGCACAATTGGCTAGTTTCCTAAATTTTGTTGAAATGTGTTGTCCTTGGTTTCCAAGGGACGGTACTCTGGATATAAGAACTTGGGCCAGAGTAGGAGAGGATATGACAACCTATTATACTCTCCATGGACCTGAGAAGGTCCCCGTTGATGCCTTTTCATTGTGGGGTCTGCTACAAGACATGCTAGATCAAGGATCTGAATTAGAAAAATTAGATAAAAAACACAGAGAATTACGGGTGCCTGAGCCTGCTGTCTCTTTATCCTTGGAGGACATCAACGGGTCCTTGGCTGACAGTCCGTCATTAACAAAACAATTGCCTGAACAAATAGATCACTTTAGCCAGGCTGGAGGCAAAGGAAAAATGCTAAACCGAAAGTTAAACAGAAATTGGCTGGCAGCATTAGAGAAAGTGATTCGGATTTTTCGGAAGATGAAATTGTTTTTCAAAAGCCAAAAATTGATTCTAGAGCCAAGGTTGACTTCTTTATTGAAGCGTCAGCTCCTTTTCAAGAATTTATTCCTAAATCTGATTCAAACTCCAGCCCGGACTTGACTGAAATTGTTAAAAAATATATCAGTGATTTGGCTAGAGCTAAAACTGATCTCAAGCCTCCTTCTGCAAACAATCAGACCCTTTTGAAAACGCACAGCCTGTGTTGAGAATGTTGTCTTGTGATTCGGTTCGTATGTCTAGAGCTGTTTTTGCTGGTGCAGTGAAGCAAGCAGAAGAGAAGGGTGATTTTACCTTTCGGTGTTATCCTGTGCTCAATGTAGACAATGACCATGAGCAGCCTCAGTGGGAACCCCTTCCCTTTGAGCTTTTAAAGGAATTGAAAAGAGCAACTGCCGATTACGGGGCTACATCTCCTTATACCTTGCAACTCGTAGAATCAGTGGCCAGTCGCTTCCTTACACCCCTTGATTGGCAGATGACGGGTAGATCTAGTCTGTCTGGTGGAGCTTATTTGTTGTGGAAGGCAAATTATGAGGAAGAGGCACGGAGGATGGTAAAGAAATATAATGATAGAGGAATAAGAATGAAAGATGATAAGATTCCGCTCGAAATGGTTTTAGGTCAGGATGATTGGTGTGAAAACAATGTGCGGATACGTATCCCACCTCCGGCCTTTCGTCTCGTGCGTGAAGCTGCAGTTGCTGCATGGAGTCGGTTGCCGGCTGGTGAAATGAAAACCTCTGGCCTTGCTAACATTAAACAAGGGCCTGAGGAATCTTATCAAGACTTTTTGTCACGCTTAATGGATGCTGTCCAGAAAACTATACCTAATGCTGAGGCGGCTCGCATTATAACTAAACAATTGGCCTTTGAAAATGCTACCATACCATGTCAGACATTGTTAAGACCTATTGTGCGAACAGGCGATCTTAATGAATATGTTCGAGCCTGTTTGGAGGTGACACCCTCGTACCTTCAGGGTGTGGCTATTGCGGCTGCCTTAAAGGGACAGACCAGCAGCCAATGGTTCGCTTCCCTTGATCAACAGAAGGAAAAGAAAATAACCAAAAATTTTGGAAATTGTTTTTCTTGTGGACAGCCAGGGCATTATAGTAGGAATTGCCCAAGCAAAGTAATCTCTACGCCGCCTCCAGCCTTGTCTCAACAGTTGCCTGTTACAACAAATAATAGTATAATTCCTTTTCAAATGATACTTCCAAAAACTATCTGCCCGCGTTGTAACAAAGGATTTCATTGGATGAAGGACTGTCGGTCTAAATATCATAGAAATGGTACATTGTTGCCACCTAATGAAAAGTTTACTGCGGGCACCAATCCGGCTGTTTTTCCAAAAAGCACTTCACAGTTGGGAAACTGGGTAAGGGGCCCAACCCAGGCCCCTCAAAAAATTGGGGATCTGAGCAACCAGAGCGGCGAACAATCTCTGATCTCGTCCGCAGGGCCACAGGCGGTGCGGACTTGGACTTGCATTCCACCTCCGCCGCAATATTAACTTCTGATCAATTTTACACTATGCTGGCAACGGGGGTGTATGGGCCTCCCACACCTGGCACAATGGGACTTGTTTTTGGCTGAGGTTCTGCGTCTCTGCAAGGCATAAAAGTAATACCGGTTGTTGTTGATTCTAATTTTACTGGTGAAATAAAAGTTATGCTGGAGCCTCCTATATAAACTATACAAATTCATCTAGGACAAAAAATTGCTCAATTGCTTTTACTGCCTCTGATGTCAGTTGGCAATAAAATTGCATCCAATGAACCACAGAGTAATTCCAGTTTTGAATCCAGTGATATGGCTTTTTGGGTTCAACAAATTAAAGATAATAGACCGACCAAAGTTATAAAAATTCAAGGAAAAGCAATTGAAGGATTGTTGGATACTGGTGCTGATGTTACTTGCATAGCAGGGCTTGATTGCCTGGCCCACAAAAGCTACACCTTCTACTTTGGTTGGATTGGGATCAGCACAAAATGTGGCAAAAGGGACCACTAGAATGGTTACATTTACTGGTTACTGCAAAGAAGGTTGTTTGTCCCTATGCTTCCCAAGTAGCTGCATTAATTGTTAAGGGAAGGCATAGGAGTATTGAGCTTTTTGGCCGAGAATTTTCTGTTCTTGTTTTACCTTACAAAAAAGAACAACTTAATGACTTACTTAGTTTAAGTGATGACTGGCAAATAGCCCTGCAATCTTTTTCGGGTGAGATAAAGTTTCATTTGCCTCCCGACCCTGTACTTCATTTCTTTAAGAAGCAGGCTTTTATATTTCCAACCATTGTTAGTGCTGTGCCTTTGCCAGAACCTGCTGCACTTGTGTTTACGGATGACTCTTCCAATGGTAGAGCTGCTTTCGTTATCAATGATAAACCAGAGTCCATCCAGACAACTGAAACCTCAGCTCAAAAAACTGAATTATTTGCAGTTCTCACAGTTTTCAAAATTTTGCAAAATCAGCCATTTAACCTTTTTACTGATTCCCAACATGTAACCAGATTATTTCCTGACATTGAAACTGCTGTAATTGCTGATGCTAAAACTACCATTGCTCCACAGCTATTGGAGCTACAGACTTTGATAAGATCCAGGACTTATAGAGTGTATGTTGGCCATATTCGTGGTCATTCTAAATTACCAGGTCCTCTAACTCGTGGGAATGAGCTGGCTGATTTGTTGACTCGAGCAACGGTATTCACAGTACAAGAGGCAATTAATGATCATGCCCTTCATCACCAAAATGCCGCTTCACTCCGAAAATAATTTCATCTGACTCGAGAAACAGCCCGAGAAATTGTTTGCAAATGTTCAGTTTGCCCCACTGTTCACCCTTCACTTCCAATGGGAGTGAACCCACGAGGACTTAGACCAAATGACCTCTGGCAGATGGATGTCACTCATGTTACTAGTTTTGGGAGACTCAGTTTCGTTCACGTCTCCATAGACACATTTTCTCATGTTATTATGGCTACTGCCCGAACTGGAGAAGCTTTTAAAGATGTCTCTCAACACCTAATGTTTTGTTTTGCCTACGCTGGCAAACCTCGTGCTATTAAAACTGACAATGCTCCTGTATATACATCATCTGCCTTTAAAAAATTTTATGCTTCGTTTCAAATTGCTACAAATTGCTTCGTTTCAAATTTCATTCTACAGGAATTCCGTATAATCCACAAGGGCAAGCTATTGTTGAAAGAGCCCATCAAACTTTAAAGTCTCAGATATATAAACTACAACAATCTGATTTTAAACATAGTTCAGCTCATCATATTTTAACTCATGCAATGTTTGTCATCAATTATTTAAATTGCGATTCTCAAGGATTGTCTCCAGTTAATAGACATTGGGACCCTGACCAACTGGCCCCTAAACCTCAAGTTATGTGGAAAGATCTCCTTTCCGGAACATGGAAAGGCCCTGATGTGTTATTAGCAAATGGGAGAGGCTATGCTTGTATCTTTCCACAGGATTCGGACAGCCCGATTTGGATTCCTGACAGACTGATCCGACATCATGTCCCAAAAGCCTTCACGGACACGCCCCCGGTCGAGCAACCGTCGCCCTAGAATGAATAGGAGCAGTCCTCTGGGACCCTATACCTCATCACCAAGAAGTCATCGCTCCAGATCCCCTGTTGGAAGATTGTCTTCTTCCCTGCACCATCTTCGGGTTCGTGAGACGTCTCATCATGACAATTGGGATCTGCTCAGAAACCTGGCCTCCAATGCTCGACAACTACTTGTACAGCAAGACACACACATCACCCCAGAAACTATGTTCCTTGCCATGCTAACAATCTTATCATGCAAAGTATCACCAGCTTCTCCTGCTCCTCTCACGCCTTCTGTTTCCTATTGGACTTACATCCCGGATCCTCCTTTTTTCCACCCCACTCCTTGGGGATTTCCCTCACTCCGTGTGTTCACTAATTTTTCTGATTTACTAGGTGGTGATTCAGACTCTTTTGTTTTGTTTAAAAGCACTAATAACTTTTCTTTTCAGGGACGCATGGATTCTCCTCCTATGTGTTTTACATCTGATCCTGCCTATATAAAGTCTCAACTACCTGGCTGCCTACCTATTAACGACAAATATTTCTTAACAGAATCTTCAAAGCCTTCCTCCTTCGGATCCAACCGTGATTTATGGGTACTGCTTTTATCTCTCCTTGGTCCTCGCAGCACTAATGAAAACATAGCTCGAGCTCCAATATCCTCCACTCTTCCAGCCTGTTCACTTTATAACTCAGATGATTCCCAAAATTCTATTGACACGGATCGTGGATTTCCCACTTGGCATAATTGCAGGTTTCCCTCTGCAGGAATTCGCTACCAGCCTTATCAGACTAATCTTTCTATTTATGATTTTTCAGTTCTTGGAGCAGTTACATCTGCCACTAATGTCCCCAAAGATTATAGGTTTCTCCTGCACAATGCTCTCATCTACAACCAGTCAAATCGCCTCATCCCACCTCTGGAACCCATCACTCGGTGGTATTCAACTGGATGGATTACTCCCACCTATCTCACCAACACTTCAAATGGTTCCCGTGCATACCCGGACTTGTTTCGCATCCTTGCTGCCACTTCACCTGTGCTTTTTCGCCAACCTGAACATTCTGTTCATGCTTTCACCATACGGGCTTGTGTGGGCCCCCCTCATGCCATCCTCATTGAGGGCCCTGGACATTTAACCATCACTTATCATCACCATGTTTTTCATATTAATTGTACTGACTGCATTCTCACCAACTGTATTACCTCTGTTAGCTCATTGTTTAAAGTGACTTTTGTTATCTTACATCAACCTCCTTATGTCATGCTCCCTGTAAGCTTACAACAGCCGTGGTATGATGACATTGGACTGTATGCGCTTCAGCTTGTAGAACAAGGTCTGCGTCGCTCCAAAAGATTTGTAGCAGCACTTATATTGGGTATTACGGCGCTTATTGCTATTATTAGTTCTGTTGCTGTTTCTACTACTGCTCTCGTGCAACAAGTTCACACTGCCTCCCATGTTAATAACTTGTCTCGTAACATCACACACGCTTTGATCATCCAAGACCATATTAATAACAAATTTGAAGCTCGTTTAAACGTTCTTGAGGAATCACTTCTACATATTGACAATCAAATTCAACACATAAAAACACATTTGACTACCGAATGTCATTCTAATTACAAATGGATTTGTGTCACTCCACATGTATATAACTCTTCTTCAGTTTCTTGGAATAATGTCAAAAATCATTTACTGGGTGTATGGAATAACACAAATGTTTCCCTGGACCTTATTGCTCTGCAGAAAGATATTAAGGCAATTAGCTTAGCTCATGTCCCTTCCTCCACCCCTGCAGAAGTTGCTGCTTCATTCCTGGCTTCCTTGCAAAATTATACTACTAAGGCCGCCTGGTTCCCATCATTTATTACATTGGGTATTGTTTTGCTTGTTGCCATGATTGTTTTGATTCTCTTCCCATTGTTTACTAAATAGCTTTTCCGTGCTATCAATCAGGTACGACTTGAGTTACGATTTATGCAAATGATGGCCAAAAACAAAAAAGGGGGAAATGCTGCAGGAGGCCTTGTAGCCCCAGCCAGATAAACTACTGGCAAGCAGCGAAGCTCAAAGGGCCTCACACCGTGGGGCCGAAGTTAAAGGGCCTCACACCATGGGGCTGAAGATTCCTTGTGCCTCACACCGTGGGGCTGAAGATCTAACATCCCTTCACTTTTTGTTCTTGGTCATAAAAGGAGAAAAATTTCCCAAAAAGTACATTAGGCGCTACATTATATGCATCAATATACAGTAAATAAACGGCATGGAAAATTATCTCTTAAAAACTAATTATTAAACAATTTGGCCCACTTGACAATGGGAGATGGTTTATTAAACATGCCTGACAAGCATTACAATACTATTATTGTAAGTTCTTTTTTGCCTTCCCTTGAAGTTTCTTGGGAAAGTTTTTAAATGAAGCTATTTGAGTTAAGGAGTTTCTAGGTAGAGGAAGTTCTGATAGCTGAGTAGCAGCCAGCCCCTGGTGTGAAGGCCAAGAAAATAAGAAAAGTTCTTTCTTTGCTTAGGCTTTAGCTGATGGGAATGTTCCGGTGGCTATCAATTGTGTTAAGCTATTGTTTAGCTGAAACAATGAATTTTAGTGTTTAAGACTTAGTTTTTTATTAACCTTGAAGGTTGCCTTCTTGCTGAGAGCACGGAAAAGGAGATGCACTAATTGTTTTTGCTTTGTTTCTGTGAACCTGATAATGTAATCTCAATGCTTGCAAAAAATGTATAAATAAAGAACCTGCTGAGCCTTTCGGCAGAAGATACTAACACCTCACAAAGTGTCGGTGTCTCCTCATTCCCTTCCCCTCAGTCCCTAAGTTTCAGATCATTCGTATTCGCCGACGCTGTCTCATCCTTTCAGGAACCCTGACACCACATTTTGCCGGAGGCTGGTCCCCGGCAAATTATATTTTATTTATCCTTTGTGCTAAACTATAATTTATAATTTTTTAAAGATTTATTTTATTTATTTGTGCTACAAGAACTGGGATGTAGGCCAGCATTACAGGGAGTGAGAAAAATTCAGCAGAGACAGAGCTGGGAGCAGAACAGGCAGATCCACTGAAATACACTGCTGAGGGCACCATTGGGAAGACAGGAGAGAGATGCTGAGCCATGTGGGTCAGCTCCCTGGACAGGGTCAAACTCGTCCTGCAGTGGCTGTGGCTAGCTTTATAGTGCTGAGACTTAACCCCTGCGTCACCAGGGGGGCCCTATAATTTGTAATCTTCAGAAATTTGAAGATACATTAATGGCTCTCTTTTCTTTTTCTGAAATTACGGAAAGGAATAAACAAGGTTATATGTGGGGAATAATTGTTTATACACACAGGGTTGATTGATTCCAATATCCACTTGCAGAGCCACTGTCTCCTATCAAAAGGCAAAGATCTTACTTTTTTATTTTTTTTTTAATTCTTATTTATTTGTGCATGCAAGTACTGGGGTACAGGCCAGAGGTGGTGGGCTGAGAGGATTCAGCAGAGAGAGCAGGGAGCAGAATAGGCGACTGACTGAAATTCACTGCTGAGGGGGACAATGGGGGAGAGGGGAGGTCTGCTCCACCATGTGGGTCAACTCCCTGGCGGGGGATTGAATACCTGATGTATACCTACGGATTACATCATAGTGCTGATGCTTAACTCCTTGCACCACCAGGGAGGGCCGAGCCTACATTTTTTAAATTGACTGGGAAACCAAAAAGTAATTTTTTCCAGATCTAGCCTGATGGTTTTGTCACACCTCCCAAGGTGTCAGTCCTCAGCCCGGATCAGTGGTAAGTGGGAAATTCCTGATGTTGCTGGGAGCCTCCACATGTGCACTGGAACTAGGGACGAGGGTCACTTGGGCCACATTGGGACAAAGGGACAGCAGGGCCTGATCCGAACAGAGGACACACACCCGAGCTGGGATGTCTGCCAGTTCATGGTACGTTAAGGTGCAAATCTACTCGGGAGAAAACATAGTTTATTTGCATTGAAGGCACCTGTTTTCCCAAGTTCTGTGATCGACTCTCTAGTTCTTCAGTTAGTGCTTAGTGAGCAGTGTCCCAGCTGCTCTTCCTCATTAGTTTTCACAATCCTGGGTCTCCAGGCGCTCCTGCTCGCTGTCCAGTGTGTACCCCCACCCTGCTGCACAGAGCAGAGGCTCCCCCACAGGAAATCTAAAGCTACTCTCACCTGAGTGCTGCCCCGCCCAACCCGAATCCTGTCGGATGCCCCGCGGGGTGTCCCAGGGAGTGCTCCACAGTGAAGGGCATTCACTCTGACCTTCTCAGGTCACGGCCTCTCTAGAATGTGGGGAGGGGCTGTATTTCATGAAGAGCTTATAGTGTTTACACACAGACGTGTATTTGCTGTTTTTAAAAAATGTCAGTGAAAACGCGGACGGGAATAAAAGACCACACGTGACATTGTGGATGGACCCTGGAGACGCGGACACTGTCCACGCACAGGGCAGCCACCTGCAGAGAGGCGGACAGGGGCAGGGACAGGTCTTTCCTGGCGCCCCCCCAGAGGAGCACCCCGATCTCTTGCCTCTGACAAGTCTGCCTCCTGCACACTAGGCGGAGAGAGAATATTCCTGGGATGGCACGGGCATCCCCAGGGCATCAGGACGGGGTCGCGCCCACGCCCGCTGCTCCCGGACTCTAGCCCCGCCGCAACGGCCCCCCGGGGGACGGGCCAGAGACCCCCGCGCAGACCCAGCAGGGTCCGGGGTCCGGCCCGCCGTGTCCGCGACGGTCTGAGGCATCCAGTGGGCCCGGGGCAGCCGATGTGGGGGTCCCGGGGTATCTGAGCAGCGACCGCAGTGGCTGCGGCACCTGCCTGTGCCCCGCAAATTGGGGAAGCGGGTGGAGCTTGGTCTCCCACCTCAGACCCTCCCCTCCCCCCTCCCACCGCCCCCCACTCCTCCCCCCTCCCACCGCCCCCCACTCCTCCCCCCTCCCACCGCCCCCCACTCCTCCCTCCCACCGCCCCCACTCCCCCCTCCCACCGCCCCCCACTCCTCCCCCTCCCACCGCCCCCCACTCCTCCCCCTCCCACCGCCCCCACTCCTCCCCCCTCCCACCGCCCCCACTCCCCCTCCCACCGCCCCCCACTCCTCCCCCCTCCCACCGCCCCCCTCCTCCTCCCCCCCCGCCCCCCACTCCTCCCCTCCGTCGCCGCCAGGGGGCGCTGCCCCTCCCCCAGCACGGGCCCCGCCCCCCCCTCCCGCCGCCCCCTACGTCGCTGCCAGGCGGCGCTGCCCCCAACTAGGCCGCGGCTCCCATCCGGGCCTTCCCCTCTCGGGCGTCCCCACCGGCCGTGCCCGCGGCATGTCACGGAGATGGGGCGGCCGTGGGGGGACCCGAGGGCGTTGTCGGGGTGGGCGGGGCGGGGACCCAAGGGCCCAGAGAGAAGCCGTGGGGGGAGCGGCGAGGGGGGAGCTACCAGGGGAGGCGTGGGGGCTCGGATGTGCAACGGGGCCAATGCGGAGAGTGAGGCCTGGGGGCACTAGACGTGCCCCCTGGACACCCCGCCCCACCCCAGTAGCTGACGGGCCTGCAGGACGGACCCGAGGGCGCTGGCGCGGAGAGGGGGGGGTGGGGGATGGGGGAGGGGGGTGGGGGATGGGGGAGGGGGGTGGGGGGAGGAGGGGAGGGGGGTGGGGGGCGGAGGGGAGGGGGGCGGGAGGGGGTGGGGGGCGGGAGGGGGGTAGGGGGGTGGGGGGGGGGGGTTGGGGCGGGGGGTGGGGCGGGTGAACAGGTCGTGTGGAACCCGAAGATGCAGCTGGAGGGGGATGTGCCGCGAGGAGGCACTGACCCAGCGCCCCTGTCCCGAGAGCATCATAGCGCCCTCCTGTGGGGCGGAGCAGAGAGTCCGGCCTCGGGGCCGGCATTGGCGGGGTTTGGGGGCGCGTGGAAGACACTCCAACCCCTCAATGGGCGAGGCCGTCCCCAGCACATTAGTCAGTCACCAGTGGTGGGAACCGCCTCAGCGACCAGCCAGGAACACCCCCTCACAGACACACCCCGGGACCGCGTTCAGGAGGACGGGGAGTGTGTGTGGGCCGTGGTCGCCTCTGCACGCCACCTGCGTCCTGTGTGCATGTGTGTGTGCGTGTGTGTGCACATGTGTGTGTGAGAGAGTGCATGTGAGTGTGTGCGTGTGTGTGAGCATGTGAGAATGTGCGTGTGTGTGTGCATGTGCGTGTGAGAGTGCATGTGAGTGTGCATGTGTGTGCGTGTGCATCTGTGTGTGAGAGTGCGTGTGGTGTGCATGTGAGAGTGTATGCATGTGCATGTGAGAATGTGTGTGTGTGCATGTGAGAATGTGTGCATGTGCATGTGAGAGTGTGTACGTGTGTGTGCGTGTGCGTGTGCGAGTGTGCAAGTGCGAGTGTGAGCGCAGCGATCGGGTGCCGAGGGCGGTGACACGCGTGCGGGTGAGAGCAGCTGGGGAGAAAAGTGACGTTGGGCATCAGGGGGATCAGGTGGGGAGTGAGAAGAAGCCGGGCACGGGGAGCAGGCGAGGCCCAACATCGTCCCCTTGCACGCCTGGCTGGTGTGCAGCGGGGCCTAGGGTGTGTGAGGGTGTCTAGCGAGGGGATACAATAACAAATTCTCTGTGTGCGCGCAGGTTTGTGATCTAGTTGATACATGAGGTCAGCACATGTTGACGACCCCTGAGGCATGAAGTGCCGAGACAAGGAACACACCCAGGCCGTGGCTGGAGACTGGGACGGGTCGGAAGACCGGCCCACGCGCAGATCAAGAACGTCTTTCCCGGGTCAGAGAAACGACGAGGCAGTCGCGAATGACGGGGTTTCTCCCATAAGCGATAACAAGGTGGCCTCTCCCATATTTCTTCCCATTCCGCCCTTGTTTGACAGGTTCGCTTCTTGCGTTCCAAGGAGCTGAGAAAAGCAAGCTGGTGCCCACCTGACTCAGGGTGGCCCTTCCTCCTCCCCTTTGCAGCCCCTCACCCGTCTTCCCCTCTGTCCCCTGGTAGAAACAACCCTGCCCACTGCCCAAGAGCAGGACTGTGTCTTTCAGACATGAGTCTGCTGCCCTCCTCGCTTCTCGACAAATTCAACCACATTCCTTGTATTTGAGGCCAGCGTTCACTCACAATTGAGAGGGCCAGAGCCGGGAGCTGGATGCCACTTGGGCTCTTGTCCGGAGCCGCATGGAGCATGTGCCGTGTTGCGCATGCTCGCAAGTTAAGTTTCGGTTTCTGTTTTGCCTTCGGAGAAACCACTGCGTTTTCCGGAAAATCACGTGGGACTGAGAGGTACGAGGGGAGGAGCGAGGGGGGATAAGAAGGGAACCACGGGAGAGACTGGAGAGACTGCGTGGAGGATAGGAGAGAGACTGCGTAGA